TTTCAAATAATATAATATAATATTACAAATTTTATTGCTACACTCAGAGCTATAATTATCATCCTCACTAAAAATTGTGGATAAAATTACTGAGAAATGTGTCCTCTGATCCAAGCTCAAATTGAATTGATGGTGTCACTTAGTGATGGATGGAGATAATCGTACGAGAAGTGGAAAATGTGCATCTACAGAGCTGACACTCACTTACTCACAACAGACAGACGCTGTACAGATACAGAGCAAGCTCAAAGAGTGTACTGAATCTCTAAGAACTTTTCAAGGACAGTTTATTAAGCCCATCTTCATCTGGGTTTTATTCAAAAGTAAGTTAAAGGTCTTCCTAAAAAGCATAGCAGAAAACCATAGGGAAAATCAGGCTCCTCTTATGGTCTCATCGCTTGTCAAAACCTTCAGAATAATGGGTTTTTCTGGCTGAAGAATAGCGTCCGTTCCTAATGTCAGAGGGATCTGCAAACATCAAACAAGGATATTTAGAAGCAATAAATGAAGCACCAGCAATCACAGAAGCAAAATAGAAAAGACATATTAAGGAGGATAATGGTTCAAAAACAAATAAAAAATCACTTTTAAAACACTTATCTTGGATTTCTTAAAGTGTCTAAGCAATAGTCGAGATCTGATAGTGAAGGCATTCATCTAAATGTTCATTCAATAAAATACTGAGCACCTATTTGGTAAGGGTCTGAGACAAAGTCATGTTGGCTTGTATCCATTATTGACATAAAATCTGAGGATTAAGTTTTTAAAATTCTAATAAGATTTTTAGGCATAGTGACAAACTGGTATTGATAAGCTATATAAAGTTAATTTTATGTTTGCTAAAACTTGCAAGGTGATCATAAGTAGGTATTTGTTATACATTTTAATTTGGGGGCAACTTCTAAAGCTTAATAATGAGAAGTCTATAGTAATCATTATGCTTTTGATTCCTTACATCTCCTCTTGATGCCCCAAAATAATACAAAGGGGAAAGTCTGAGTCCTTCAGCAGTTGGACTAATTCTTAAGCCACATTCTCCATTCTCTTCAGGGACAAGGGTAGAGCCTCAGAGTAAATTATGATCTCAGTAGAGCAAAGGGCAAGTGTACTAAATTGTCATTGAGATTAAGAAGTGCCAGCCTGTAGATGACTAGGAGGTTATCAGGGAGGATCTGACCCATCCCAGATGTGCCAGAGGCCTGCTTTCTCCCAAGACTATGCCTATCTGTAGACCCTTACAGGACACCTACACAGTTGCCCTAAAGCCAAAGAATGAGAGGATAACCACCAGTACTCTCCTCTTCTCCCAGGAGTAAAGCCTACTAGTGGAAAGGAATTGCATATCGCATGCACTCCAACCTTCAGATTAACCTTATCAATCATTGTTTATATTACTCAATGATCATTGTTCTTTAAGTTTTTCAGGAGAGGTATTTCAAATCGCCCTGTATATACACCGCCTTATGATTTAACTCTGCTATGGATTGTCCCTGGAAACAGACAGATATATATACACACACATGCACACATACAAATGACATTTGTTAAATTTTTAAATGAAAATAGTTTAAAACTTGTATTAAGACCTCCAAAACAACAAATGATTTCTTAAACATTTTCCAAATGCTTGCAGCAGGCAAACTCCCTTTAAGGTACCACTAGGGGTTAACAAAAGGAATAAAATGAGATAATATACAAGGAAGGGAGATATTCACCGATATGGAGAAAATTACCAAATTGTATGGTTTCATGGCAAAGTATTAACTTAAGTGGTGATAGTACTCTACAGTAGCCATTAGTGGGCCCTGGAAAGATAGAGAAAATCTCTCAGAGGAATTTGAGAATT